ACATCTGATCACGTTCCACGATCAGTAACATGATCGTGACGCGTGATATTCGTTTAACCCCAGCACTACGAAATACAGGGGTAACCTAAAATACCACCACAATAGCTATGATTTCATTAGCCTAATTTTTTGATCGTCGCTTTTAGCCAATCAAAGTCGAGAATCTGCCGGTCCAATTTTGTTGTGGCAGCTATAGTTAATGGTTAACTGGTTACTGCGAGACGGGCGGTAGAGGTGGGACGATAGAGGCAGCTTTCACTACAAGGCAAGCGATAGCGAAAAGGAAGATATCCTCCTCTACTAACCAAAGGTCCTTAAATACGTTGCTGATACATATTATTACCCTTACCCGTTCTCTAATGGTTTTAGTAATTCATATCTCAACAATCACACCATTAACCGGAAAATACCTACATCCAACAAGATACCATAAGATCGTACACAACGACAAATTGGGCATGATATCCCATAAAGTCATCCGATCTCGCACTAATGATTTCGTTGACAATCTCCTTAGGAATAACTAATTCAGAATGTCATAATCAGTGACGATAAATAGCTTTAATTTAGAATGTCTTAAATCCTGTAACTTTATTAAGTAACTTTAATCCAGAATATCATAAATAGATGACGTTAAAATAGTCATCGTTATAATTAATTATATTCTCTCACATTTTCAAAACGTTAACGTTAAAGTACACAAATCCAAAATTCTCACACTATGATCACAGATACGGTATGTCAAATCCAAAATGGTAAATGCACAAACTCAAAATTCCCACACTTGATCACGGTTTTTTGTATTTTTGGATATGGCCAATCAAAAATGGTAAAGTGCAAACCCCAAAATTAAATTAGATAGATAGAAAGGAATCCAACCAACTAAATAAAGAATAATGGTTTGAAAATTAAATTTGATCGAAAGGTAAGTCAATTTGCAAATCGCGATAATCGTTAGGTTGGTCATTGTTGGATTCTGCCTGATTAGTATATTAATTTAGACATGTTTTGAATTGATATAAAGAATAAATGTATAAATTAAAACATACATCTAAAATATTACAGGTTTATGTGAATTCTTACGTGAATTTTTCTGGCAATCTTAATATATTTTGATCATAATTAAACCATAATCAGATCATCAGTGACGGTGAATACTTTCATTAAGAATAAAATGGAATAAAATGAAATTATTATAGCCAATCAAACCAGAAACTATTTCAAAAATTGAATTTTGATTGGATTAGAATATATTGTTCATAACTAAAATAAAATGGAATTCTGGAATTTTATTACGGAAGTATTCACCGTCCCCGCAGATCATAATCGCAGTTCACATGTACAATCACTTGATTATCATTCGATCGTGCAAATGTAAAGCGATTTTCTATAATTTTGTGTACTTGCACAAATTTCCATGCCAAACAATCTTTTGAATTATTTTTTTGTAAAATTTTCCTAATCTGTTTATAGGCCCTTCCAATTAATTCGAGGCTTTTTTCATTTACATTAATATATTAATGAATAACTTCCAAACGCGACAGATATTCATGCCTATCTAATAGAAATATAAAGCAATAAAATCATTATTATTAATAAACAGTTACATTTTTAAAGTCAAAATTTACGCTGAACATAATCGTTTTTAATTTTTGATTTGTGAACGTCACGTCACGTACTGTATAAATTAACTACCCAGGCAATTGATTCAGATTAGCCAATCAGACAAATATCCTCATATGATAGGAATATTGGTACAAATAAGGAGTTCTCAAACATATCCCACAATGTGATTTGTTTACAATCGAGATCGGCACAACAGGTTGATATAAAGTAGATCAGATAAGTATTATAGAAAAAATCAAGTTCTGATTTTTTCTGATTTTTAGCGCCTATCGTGACACAACAAAGACATATCGGAAGCTGATAAGCATTCAGTAGGTCATCTGATACTTGATAACTATATAAAGTATCTGATAGCTATCAGCTCTCGATATGACTTTGTTGTTGTCATGATAGCCGCCAAAAATCAGAACAAATCAAAACCTAATATTTCTATAATACTCATCTGATCTACTTTATTTCATCCTGTGTATTATTAACTGAAGCAATCCTTTACTGAAAAGTCAAAATTCGGATATTAGGTTTTAACCAATCAGCACAATTCTGTTAAAAAAAAAAAAAGATGGTCTCGACCTTTTTTTTCATTACAATGATGAATTGCTAAATTATTTCCACTTACTAAAATTAAACACCGATCTATTACAGATTTTGCAAATTTCGATCAAATTTGTATGATGTGCAGCGATCTACAAATTCGATAATTTGGTGCTTGTAAAAATAAACCAATCAGTCAGTTATCGCTACGGTAAAAATAATTGATTATTTGACCAGATTTGGGTAAGTAATTCAAATGATTAACAATTTTTTACGGAATCATACTCATTGATCTTCATATAATACAAAATCTCGGTAGATTACCCATAAAAAAAATATCTTGGAATTGTTCTGAAAATCGACTCCATTTCGAACATTTAAAGAATGTTTATTGGATGAATGCGTTTTTTATTCGTTTTTATACATAATTTTTAATCAAAAATTTTCTATTTTTTACATCCCGCACAAACATCGTTATAAAAACAATACAAACGTAAACTCTGTTCGAAAATCGACACCATTCCGAACAATGCCTACAATAACTGTATAAACTTTTTTTATAGGGCTGATATTTATAAAGGTTTCGGGATCTCTTAGTATAGCTGGGCAATAGGAATATTATAAGATTATAATTTAAAAAAAACTCTAACCCTAACTCTAATCTAACTTTAATTTAAATTATAACCTTCACCCTAACCCTAACTATTATAAATTTGCTTAAATTAGTTTAAATAGTTATTTTTATATATTATAATCTTATAATAATTCTATATTGCCCAGTTATACTAAAGATCAATCACTTTTATGTCTTGGAAGACACTTTTGAAGATCGAAGAATCAAAATAAAATCATCCCCAATTATTGTAAATGCTAAGTACAGTACAACAGTCAGCAGTTTACGAATTTACAAGGAATGATTTTCTTGAAGAAAAATATATATAAAGTATACGGATAATAATAACAATCTGAACATAATTATAACAATCATAATTCATCATGGGTCGTAAATGCTTTATTATTTCATTTACTTTTATTGTATTTTTTATTCTTACGTATGTTGAAAAGACTCACGGGAAATGCCATCCTGCTGGTGACGTTTGCACTCACTACTCCGGAGCTTGTGGTGCTAAAATTACAAATGTCCAATGGACTGGAGGATGGAATGTTAGAAATTGGCTTGTATACCTCGAAATGTCGATCACTTCTCCGACTTCTGCTCCGCAAGCAATTGGCCATTTTACCTTTAGTGATGACAAAGGTCATTCTTATAGATGGTATAAAGACCCTGGGTTTGTTAATTGCCAAGACTGTAATAATTCTTGTAGATATCAAGCAAATCCATACAACACTGGCTTTTGGCTGCATGATCCTTATCTAGCACCTCCACAGGGGACTTGGTTTGATGTTTGGATTGCAATATATTGGGATTGTGTCTATCAAGGCAATGAGTCAATATCCTGTATTTCTGAAAATATACACTATCGAGGTTTAAACAACAATAATGTGTATCCTCCAGGTAGTCCAAGTCCACAATGATTTGCTTAGTCAAAATACACATTAATCGCTCATAATTATTATTCAAATTGCAATTGGCGTCAGCCATTTCTTTATATTACACCTTTTGTTGTCTCATTAGGTTTTAGCTTCAATCACCATTTCAATTTCATTTTTTGTAATTAAAAGAATACCTTGAAATTTATTAAATATTTGTACAACATTTAGTCTTATTGTATATACAATTCATGAAATAAATATTGCTAGCCCGCAAAATTATTATCAGTTTAAAAAGTATTCCAAAAAAACAAATTATTAACCTATTCAGAATCGCATTCGATTATTATTATTATATAAAATATGTCCAATATCCGTGTTACTTGTGTGAAAAATGTCTAAAAAAGCGCCATTCTGTCTATTTTTGTCTAACTTTTGTTTTAATTGAAATAAACAAAAATGTAGACAGAATGGCACTTTTTTAATTGAAATAAACAAAAATTAGACAGAATGGCACTTTTTTAAACACTTTTCACATGCATAGCACAAATTTTATACAATCCTTTTTTATAGAAATGTCCTTTATTCAATTTCTTAACATTTTTGTTGTGTTTATATATTAGGGCTAATTGGATAGTATGAAGTTTCTATGAAGGCCAAGTGAATATCTAAAATGTATAAAAGTCTCAATGGTCCAGTTAATAAAAGTGTGCGTGTTTGTAAGCTCTAACTAACGTTAATAATGGAATTTTGCCAATTAAAAATAGGGGAAATTACGTGATACTGTAGTGTGTATTCTTTTATTTTATCAGTTTGGGATGATCCTAGAAAATTGACCGGATCTATAATCAACACGAGAAATTTGATGAACAAGGAACCCAGTGATATCTTTATAATATGATATGAGTGTCGCCAAAAGAAAACCCGACAATTTAAATATAATTTATATTTAAATTGTCGGGTTTCTTTTGGCGACACTCATATCATATTATAAAGCGCTCGGCCTAAGTTAGAGTTAGAGTTAGGTGATAGTATGGCTTAGGCCAAGACGTAATTGCATGATTTTACGTGAGTTCCTTGTTCTTCAAGCTTCCCCAAAAATCTACATGTTTTATCGACATCGTTGTAAGGATTCTTCACGAATTGCATGAGTTTATATTTATTTTCTGAACTTTTGCCGGGTTGATAAATTGATAATAAAGTTATTACAGTATTAAATTTAATTTCTGAATTTAACGTACGTACGTTGTAAAGGGGCCCGGGTGACCGCGATCTAAATTTTTTTTCTTATTTTTTTATTGTCTTATCTTATTTTTGCCTATTACTCTTATTATTATGTTATTATTATTATTATTAATTTTTAATTACGAATTCATACCTGCGGCAATTTGCACCCGGGGCAAATTGCCCCTAGTCGTCTAAGCCTATTACAATTTCGTACTAGATCGATCCTGTTATTCTAAATTTGTTAAAAATAGAACATATTAGAATAGAAGAAGCTAGTAAAAGACATTCATGTACGCAGCATTGGTCTAAAAGTATTTAAGACCTATCTTTTTGTTTCAATAAAGAAAGTAACTCAGTGAGAGTTAGTAGAACTCATTAGAGTTCGGCTCATAGAAAGTCTATTTTTGACTTTAAAGTTTCGGTCCAATTACCCCAGTAATCAAATTCGCATATAGTTAGTAGTCTAAACCCGCGATCCTGAAGTAGAGTCTCATGATGTAATCCAGAGCTCTATTTGACCCTAATAACTCGGACCAAGTCTTCCACGCCTTTTCGTGCCTACCATCATTAGGGTTCAGTAGAGTTCAGTAGTTTAGAGTATTGTTTAGATTAGTTTTAGTGTTAGTTGATATCCGTATTACACATATTTTGTGATTCCGGATCAGTTCTCACTTTTACAACGTACGTACTTAGCTCTTTTTTTGTGCTACAGTTTGATCCTACTTTGTTTGGTCAATTTGTATTAGCGTTCTTTTTATCCTAAATTTGCTATAGCTAAGTTACACGAGAAATAAACGTCCCATTATTAATTTGTACGCTCGATCGAACGATCATCCCTTCAGCTTATTTGAACATAAGCATAATCACAAGCACGGCGTAAAATTTCGAGTAATGATTCATTTTCCGTACTATTTTGCCTCTCAAACTTATTTGGTGAGTTTTTCTCTGGGGTAGTGATGTGAACTATTTAAATCCGGATAAACCGGATACATAAAATCAAATACGGATAATGCGGATTATACGTCATCATATCCGTATTTATACGGAACTATACAGTTTATGTAGTTTAAACAGTTGATAAGCGATCTGTATAAACTGTATATTATCAATATACACTGGTTTGAAATATAACCAATCCGATTCTCATCTTCTTCTATTAATATAGACTTTTCTTTTTTTTTAATTAGATTTTTGTATGTTTTCATGTACATTAGTTGATGCTTTGCATTATTTTTATTACAATTAGACTTTTTTTTTTTAATACAATTGAAAATGGAATGCTAACACAATTTATTTTATTTCTCTAATTTAATTTTTACTAAATATATTAATATTTATATATCATATTATCGAATGATATCAATATAGTTTTAGTAGCTCACTATCAGCTATAGTTTTAATAGTTAAATACAGTTTAGTAGCTAGATATAGTTAACAATAGTTTTTACAGTTTTCTATAGTTATCTAGTTCGAATAGTTAACTACAGTTATCTATAGTCTTAACTATTAAACTGTAGTTCAAAGTAGTTGAAGTTGATCTGCATATGTATACGGATAATACGGATTACACAAAAATACGGATTTCAAACAGTTATCCGGATTGCCTAATTTTTTTATCGAATTTTTTACCTGGCTGATGAAATGACAAAGAATGAAGCAAAGATTTAACGAAGGATAACTTTGATGGTCATTACTAAATCACCAATGATTGTATTTAAATATCAGAAATTATTATGCATATACTAATTTTTGTTTTGAAAACGACCTTAAGTGCATAGTAATTCCTATGTACCAATAAAGTCGTATTCTAGGCAAAATCCCAAATATTAATTTATTTAGAACTTGCCTTTCGATAAATCATCAATCTAATTGCAAAATCCGAATGTGAGTTTAAACCATACTGCACACGACAAATTATTTATATTTGATTGAAATACTTAAGCAGATTCAAAACAACATACGTACGTATATTATTTATTGATTCACAAATGCAAGAATGACACACTGATTTAGCAATAACATTATTGATATCACAAAAGCTGCCACACTAAATTTGATGAAACTTTTATTTTATTCAAATAAATATACAGAATTAAAGTCAACCAATTCCGAAAATTTTGAGTAAATGGTTGTCGTAATATTATTTGTGCTGAACGTTCTATATAATATACTGTATATCACTCTTATAATAAGATTATTGACCCGTCACGAGTGTCCTGTACATTTTTGCCAATCATTTTGCACGTGTGAAAATTAGATAGTATAAATGGTCACGATCACATGTAATGAGAAATTCACAATATTGATTACATTCAATACACGTCATTAGCGTTAATTGCTCTTATGTCATATAGTATCATGTTCTGTGAGTTAACCTTTAAGGGTATATGGTACTGTATGTGTTCGTGATTACGAATAAATGACGAATCTGTTATATTAATTAATCATGCAAATGATCATAGTCGCAATAATTGCGGATTTAATACTAAAATAGTAATCATCATAACCGATAAATTTTCCCACGTTAATGTATACCTTATCGCTCTTTTCTATTTGGTTGGATCGATGATCTGCATAATGGGTTTTGAATTCCGTGAGTTCGCAAATACAAGATAGACAACTACTTTATATTCGTCAATTTATTTATCAAAAAGGGGAAATATAAGAATTTTAAAATGAGCCCCACAAAACATGACGAAGATGAATTGATACCATCATCATATTCACAGGACTCATCGGACTCAAAAAAATTGTGCTGATCGTCAATCCAACTAAATCGAAAAGAGCAATAACCATAATAAATTATGGTAAACTTATTACCACAAATTATATTGTATAAAAAGGGCGCCAGCGGCGCCCCAGAACACTTGTATTTTATATAACAATAATAAAAAAAAATTTAACTCTAATCAATCTTGCATATTTTCGTTTCATACAATAAAAAGTTAGCCCTAATCAAGCTCCTTTGCAAATATTTACTTTATATAATAGCAAAAAAATTAATTCTAATCAAAGCCCCCTGCACATTTTTATAATTTAATCAAAATCCTGCACATTTTGTAAAAAAATTAAATCTAATCTAAGGCCCTTTGCATATTTACAATGAAAAAATTATCCCTAGTCAAAGCCTTCTTGCAAATATTTGCTTTATTTAATAATGATAAAAAATATCTCTAATTAAAGCCCCCTGCACATATATGGCTAAAGAACTTGAAGCGAAAGAGTTTGTTGATCATTTCTGATTTCAATTTATATCTCGTGATTATTAAGATAATTACATCCGCATGTGATTTATTAGGCTGAGCAAAGCAATTTGATAAGCAATGCAAAAACTAATAAAATCTAAAAACGTATGATTATGATGTTATTCTGTTCTATAAAAAAAAAGCCAATAAAATTGTAATTAGCCAATAACACAAAACACTATATATACAAACTGCTCAAAGAAACAAAATTTCGAGTTTATATATTGATTTAGAGCCACATTACTTATTTAATTTGTATATCTTATTTGATTTTAGTCCATTGAGTAAATTTATTTGGTGAGTATAAGAATGTTTTTTTGTACATATAAATAAGATACTTATTTTATTTTATTTGTAGTGATTAATTCGGTGGGTATAAAAATCATTATCATATATAAATTATCTATTCGATTTATAAGAAAAATTTATCACTAATTTAATATTATAGTTTTTAGATGAATATTTTAACTTGATACAGTTTTCATGTACACTAAAATTTGAGTATGATTATACACTATTTAAACTCATTAATACTTATAACCGTATATTATACGATTTGTTAATAAAAGCAGGCAGCGAAGCTGCTTGCATGTTCATATTCTATTTAACAATGTAAATTGCGCTAAATAAAAAGAAGCTATCAAGAGCATAACTACGCATAAGTTTTAATTTTCACACTAAGCCATATAAACAAATAAAGACCTCAAAACACCGATGTTAGAATGGCATAGATTTTGGTCCTTATATTCTAAATTAAATCGAACACAATGGTATTGTATTGTAGATTTTTTGTATTTAAACACTAAAAGGCTTTCTTATCTCTTTCATCCACGACATTGCATTTATAATTCAAAAAAAAAAAAAAATTATTTATTAAAAAAAGAAATTAAGTAAATATTCACAAGCTTGAAAAGTTATTTAAATACTTAGATTATTAATTAACGTTCTTTATACATGCGGACTAAATTGAATCAAAAACATTCACGAACTTGAATAGTTTAATAAATATCAATTAAACAATGATTTCATATTTGTACATTGTATTTTTTTTTATTGCAACTATTCCTTACCAAATTTACTCAGCTCGGGATGATATATGTCCTGGAGAATATTCTCTTCGAATGTGTCTCACCGAATCTAATCTTAGGGGACCAGTTTATTTTCGTAGTGACATTAATTACAGTAATCCTGAAACCGAAATAGACATCTACTACTGCAATGATCTTAAAAGAGAAAAGAACAAACGAATAGTTTATTATCCAGTAGCTTTTGTCCATCCAGTTAATAAATTAGATGTTAGTAAAGCCATTACTTGTGGTGCAAATAATGAATTCCCTGTTGTTGCAAGAGCAGGTGGTCATTCTTATGAAAGTTATAGCATTGGAGGTAGAAATTGTTGTTGATCTTATCAACTTAAATAAAATTCACATCAATAAAGGCACCGAAACCGCAGTAATTGGACCAGGAAATAGTCTAGGAGTATTGTATTACGAATTAAATGATGTTGGATTTGCATTTCCAGGCGGAAATTGTCCTAGTGTTGGTGTTGGTGTTATACTAGGGGGCGTAAGTATTTTTTTTTAAAAATGTAAACGAATATATTGTACAAGCATGCAAAAAATAAAAGAATTGTCATCTTTTTTTAATATGGTGAAGGACGTCTCACACGAAAATTTGGAATGTCATCTGATAATATCGTTGATGCCCAAATTGTCTTAGCAAATGGGAAAATAGTTAATAGTGTCAAAAAATTTGATAAAGACCTTCTTTGGGCTCTTCGAGGTGCGGGAAGTGCTGGTTATGGCATTGTAACTAGCCTAACCCTCAAGATCTATCCTATACCAAAGCTTGTGACTTCTTTTGAATTTGAATATAAAGCTGATATTGAAGCGACAAAATTATTATATCATACAGTTAATCAATATGGACAGGCATTTGAGCAAGAATTAGCAATGGAAATCCTTCATAAATTTAATCAAACTATAATCACAACTTCAGTTAAAGGTCTTTATCTAGGTCCTAAAAATGAATTAAAGAACTGTTTAAAAGAATTTATTAGTAAATCCGAACCTAATAAAACATATTATGAAGAAGTAGATTGGTTTACGGCGATTACTAATAACGATACAATTACTAATAGAACTATACTTTATGATTTCGTTAAAGTTAATGGGGAAAAGAACCGAAAACCTCTTAAGGCGAAATCTTTTTATGTTAAAACTCCAGGCCTAGTTGAAAAGGGGGTTGAGAGTTTATTCAACTTTATGACAGAAATGAAAGATATTGAATGTAGAGGTCTTATATTGACAACATTATACGGTGGCGGAAAATTCAATGATCTTAGTCGAAACAAAACCGCATTTGTTCACAGAGGTTTTATGTATGATGTATTTATTGAATTGAGTTCATCATCCAAAGAAACCACTATTGCAGAAAAATGTTTAAATGAGTTAGAAAATTTTGCCAACGTTTTTCAAAACAATTATACTAGCTATGAAAGTTTTCAAAATTATATTGATAGAGAATTAGATGATTGGCAATGTAGATATTATGGAGAAAATTTAGAAAAGTTGGTGAATATTAAAACGAAATATGACTCTCGGAATGTATTTAATTGGAATCAAAGTATTCCTACTGCTAGTAACACTGTTGAAGGGCAATGTCGAAAATTTTTGAAGGGAACGCTTTGATTATTACAATTAAGTAATATGGCAGAATAGTCAAATTTATGATATTTTATAAATAGATTAATGCATAGTACGTATGTAAAGCCTAGTAACAACGTGTTATAATTTATTACTGCTGTATAATAAAACGGTGGATTGTTTCTTATGTATTCTTAAATTAAAAGAAAATCAATACACGTGAGAACAGACCAGCTAATTTCTTTTGTAAATAGATTTTTTTTCTAATTCTCATGATCCTATTATAAAAAAAAGTGCTGAGCGAAATCGTATGAGAGAATAGGTTCCTGATTTCCTTACTAAGTATGCTTAATTGGACGAATCAACGCCACTTGTGAATTATTTGACATAGATAACAACCCATATAATTGTCTATTTTGTACAAAATTATTAGTCAATTCTGATGGCATCTTTCTAAGCTTATATGCAATAAATTGCGTTTAGTATATAATCAATATTTTTCTGTTAATCACTTTGGACTGCATTTTCTTTTTAGTAAATTTTTCTTCGGGTCTGTGAAGCTAATCTTTTTATTCAAGCATAATTTTTGCACCTTTTTGTTCAGGCGTATAAATTTTTCTATGCAACAGATCATTAATAAGTTTATTAATCAGTTCGCTTTTGCATGAATAACTAGTAGTTGGGCACGTCCAAATGTCTGTGCTTAAGGTAATGTTACGATCAAACCACCTCTAACTAGGTCCAATGCAACGATACTGTACGTTGATAAATGTTTGGCGTTCTATAAATAGCTAACCGAAACACCAGAGGCTTTACGTGATTTGTTTTTTACAAAGAGACAACGGCTAAATGTTTATGAAGATACAAATAGTTGTAGAAGATAATTAACAATAATCAATGAAATGTGATCGTTAAATCCCTTCACGATAATCATATGAGCAAGGACATTATTTCTCTTAACGATTGGATTGCGGTTATACTAGTCAAGACACGAGTATCGGATTTTTATTGTGTTTAGACAGGGTGTGAATTCTTTATTGAAACGAAAAAGTAGGTTTCGATATACATAAATAAAATACACTATTCTATTGTCGGGGTTTTTTTTCTATCCGTCATTTATTACATACATTTTGTTCTTCTCCACTAAGCTATCTCTTTAGTATTTTTGTTTGTAAGACATCCCTTTCCCATATGTAATTATCGTAAGATAATTATTTGAAAACCAGTAATCTTGTTTTGAATCAGCAGCGTTTTATAATAAGCGAACGCCTTTTGTTCATCCTCATTACAAATCCATTCTGGAAGGCCTTTTTCCCGATGCGTTATAGCAGACACAACCCATGAGTGGTGATAATTGCTTTAGTAATTAAGGTAGTGTATCGATTTGTCTATAGATAATTCGTGTTGGGAATATCGAACGACTTTTTCTTACGCGTCAATCTCTATGTATGGATAATTATATGAGTGCTGTCAAAAGAAAACCTGTCATCGGACTTTCAATTATATTTTGTGTACTTAGTCGTCTATGAATAATCTATCATTATTGTCGTTCGAAGTTGATTCTTCGGTTAACATCGGATTTGGTAAACTTCACCGACAACTATTTCACCGACACCAATTTCACTGACATCCATTTCGCCGATAACCTACTTCATTGACAGCCCATTTCACCGACAGCCACTTCTTCGACACCACTTCCCGAAATCCCACTTCCCAACAACCCATTTCGCCGACAGCTATTTCACCAACAGATTCTTCGTCAATTTATAGATCATGTTATATCTCACAAATTAGCTGGGAGATAAATATGGCTACCAATAAAGGGTTATTATTAGATTTCGCCTACTGTTTCAGGCGAAATTATTTTTATTTACGAAATGTTTCAGATTTAATAAGGTGATCCGAAATAAAAATTCCAAATTCCAAAATCATGATGAAAATTCGATACATCCGATATTTCTGATATCATCCGAAATTCAAATATTATAATGATGAGTGATGCGAAGTGTTACCTATCCTATTCAACAAACCATTTATATCAATTTGAATAGTTTATTTCAAAATACTGTTAAACTTCCCAGTCAAAGTCACAAGATATGTTTCCGCTATATGAATTCGATATTATAATGATTTCAAGTCTAATATTGATACATAATCTGTCCACCATGCATATCGGTTTTGAGATGTTTAACAGTATGCATCTTTTAATGAAACGTTGGGATATATTGTAATCCTAATTATTTACACATATTGACGAATTTAAATACTGCCAAACCTCCCAAAACCGATATGTATGATGGACAGATTTCATATCAGTATTAAGAGGTCATCACATTTGAACCATTATGGATTATTATATTCATATAGCGGCAAAAGGCTTGGTGGATTAATTTTTTTAGATTTGACAGGTTACGTATAAATTTTGACAGGATCATTTTTGGAAGGTTCAACAGTATGAATCTAATAGCCTACAATTTATCAAATCTGATAACCTCAGAATACTGATACAAGATCTGTCCATCATGCATATCGGCTTTGGGTGGGTTAACAGTAGTTAAAACTGGGCTCACACGTGCAATTGTCTACCTAATCAGAGTTTCGGACTCTTCGGATTGAGCCTAAAATATGGGTAATTACTGATTTTGTCAGATATTTCGGAAATTTGTATGCTGGGTGAAACTAGTATCTCCCGAATTTCAGATTCGGATTTGGTAAAATACTTGAGTTTCGCCCAAAACATTAATTCGCCAACAAACTACCTCTAGCTAACCCAACTATAAAGTAAGCCAACCCTAACCCTAAATTTGTTCATGAAATAGCTGTTGGTGAAGTTTGTTTATACCATAAAAAAAGTATCAACAAATGGCTGACGGCGAAAGGGGTGTCAGGAAAGTAACTATTGATGAAATGAGATGTCGGAGAAATGGATTCGGGGAAGTGGGCCGTCGAGTAAATGGTTGTCGAGGAGTGGATTGTCAGTGAAATGGGCTGTCGGCGAAATTGGTGTCGACGAAGTAGGCGTCGGTGACATTGGGTTATACCCTGGGACCGTAAATTTTAGTTTTAAAAACTCGAAATTTTTTCCGACAACAAAAAATTTAGGCAAAATTTGGTTTAAATTTAAATAAATTTTAAATAAATTTTAATTTAGGACGATTTTAACGCTTACCAGAGGCGAAATTCACCGGTGGTTCTGTATCTCAAAAACTTTATAAATAATTAAAGTCAGGGAATCTAAGTAAAAATGTTCAGAACCCCTGGAAATGATATCAGGACTAGAGATGGGAAAAATGCGCATGATATCGCATGATATAATTTTTTTGATTTTATATTTCCCTCCGGAAAATATCGGATATTTGCAAAATTTTCCCCCGATCCTTCTCGTCTTATGTTAAATCATTTCTTTTCGAAATTTTTCAAACCTTTTGCATTTCTATTTCTTAATTTTGCCTGGCATTATACACCTTGACCTAAATTAAATATATGCTTTAATTTTCCTATATAAAATTTAGATGGGATAAAATGCGCATTAATGCGCGCGATTGAGGAATCATGCGCACGCATGAAACCCACCTCTAATCAGGGCCTTATATCTAATCTACATTGTATTATATAAAGCACCCTAACCCTAAAAGCTCTTATGATTGTGAATTTCACCACTGGTGAATATTAAATAAATTCTTTTTTAAATATATTCTAATAACTTTATTAAGAAATTTTTTTAACCTTATTAAAAAAACTTAGGAGAAATAAAATTTTAAAGTTTATATTTTGAACTTTTTACTATAAGATTTTCTTTAATTTTTAAAATTTTATGTTTTTATTAATAAAATTTTTTTTGCTTCTAATATAAGTCTTAGTTATTACAAATAAATCATAAAAGTTGTAATAACAAAAGTTGTCATTCTTTATTTAAACTACAATTCTTATTAAGAAATTATAGGTTTAAAATTAATATTTAAAATTATTCAAATGATTGTAAATTTTTTTTAATTAAAAATTTTTTAATTTTTGTATATTTTTAGCCTATAAGTAAGTTAAAATTTTTATCTTGTAGTTTAAATATAAATTTTGCAAAAACATAATCCTTACTTTTAATTTTTATTTAAAAAAAATTGAATTAAATATATCAAAATTTTAAAAAAATAGATCAGAAGTTTTTTTATAGTAAAATTCAGGGCAAATTTGCCCTGAATTTCAAATGGTTTAAGGGATAATAAATCATAAGAAAATGCAAACTTTAAAGAGCAATATATCAAAATTTTATTAATACTGCACAACTACTATAAGCTGCCATATACATGACCCCATATATTAGACCCTTACTCATTTTTTACTTTTTTTTACTAATTGATTTTTGAGAGAAATGTTAGAGACCGATCTTTTATATGGCAGTTTATAGTACTTTTGTGTCTTTAATAAAAAATGGTCCTAATCTTATTCTTAATCGATTTATGTAAAAAAATATCTTTTGAAAAAATTGTCAAATTGGTCCCTTTTTGCAGCACCTAGCCTTTATATTCTTAATAGTATAAGTTGTATAATTTGATAATATAATCTTTATTCTTTGCAATTAATTTACAATCAAACATCTCTATAGTCATTTTCTATACAAACACATTGTCTTTATAGTATATTTTTAAAACAGACTATTATTATATATATTTATTAAATTTAACCTCTATAATTGTCCTATTTCTCTATAATTACACTATTTTGCATCTCAAGTGTGTAATTATAAAAATGGTTGACTGTATATTAAAATTAATTCATTGATAAAAAAGTAAAAGAATTATATTACATTAATTTTTTGTAGCAATTTATTAGTTAACTCTAACTGCATATACAGTAATACAGCTCTATCATATGTATAAAAATAACAAGTAAATTATAACAAAATTGTATTTACCATTTTTTCTAATAATAATAATAATAATAATAATACGGGTGTTATAAAATGCACCTATGGTGTTCAACACCATATATAATTGTTTTAATAAAATTTAGGGTTGGGTGCATTTTTATAATTTTATATATATATATATATATTATAATATATATTAGATATAAGTTTTTAATTTTTGTTTTGTAAAGTTTTTGGGGGTTCTGAACATTTTTACTTAGAATACCCGATCCAGTTTACTTAGTATGTTTTTGAGAAATAGGAACTTATGGTATTGAACACCATAGGTGCAGAATAGTAGTGTCGTTTATTATATTCAGAATTACAACAAAAATAATACAAATAATAAAGTAACTACAGTAAAATTAATAAACCTATTAAAAATAAAAATTATAAAGAAGAAATATGAAGAAATTGTTAAAGAACTTAAAGAAAATATTAAATGATCTATAGAAAAATCATTACAAAACTATCACAAGATTGTTAAATAATTATAAAGAGAGTTTTAACAAACTAAAAGATACTAGAAAAAATTACTGTGAATATTAAAAAAACTTCAAAGAAAATATTAAGTGATTTGTAGAAAAATCATTAAAAAACCATTATAAGATTGTTAAAAATTATAAAGAAAGTTTCAACAAACTAAAAGATATTAGAAAATATTAATGTGAATATTAAAGAACTTCAAAGAAAATAAAGTGATTAGTAAAAAAATTGTTAAAAAACTATTACAAGATTGTTAAATAATCATAAAAAGAGTTTAATAAACTAAAAGATATTAGAAAATATTAATGTAAATGTTAAAGAACTTCAAAAAAAATATTAAATAATCTGTAGAAAAATCGTTAAAAAACTATCACAAAATTATTAAAAATCATAAAAAGAGCTTCATTGAACTAAGAGATATTAGAAAATATTAATATAAATATTAAAGAACTTCAAAAAAAATATTAATCTGTAGAAAAATCATTAAAAAACTATTACAAGATCATTAAAAATCATAAAAAAAGCTTCGACAAACTAAAAGACATTAAAAATATTAATGTAAATGTCAAAGAACTTCAAAAAAAATATTAATGATCTATAGAAAAATTATTACAAAACTATTATGAGATCATTAAAAATTGTAAAAAAAGCTTTGACAAACTAAAAGATGTTAGAAAATATTAATATGAATATTAAAAGAACTTCAAAAAAAATATTAAATAATCTGTAAAAAAATCATTAAAAAACTATTACAAGATCATAAAACATTGTAAAAAAAGTTTTAACAAACTAAGAAATGTTAGAAAATATTAATATGAATATTAAAAAACTTCAAAGAAAATAATAGAAAAATTATTACAAAACCATTACAAGATTATTAAATAATTGTAAAGAAAGTTTTAACAAACTAAAGAACATTAGAAAATATTATTATAAATATCAAATAACTTAAAAAGTATTAAATAGTTTGTAAAAAAATCATTAAAAACTATCACAAGATCAATAAAAATTATAAAGAAAGTTTCAATAAACTAAAGAATATTAGAAAATATTACTGTAAATGTCAAAGAACTTCAAAGAAAATATTAAATGATTCTTAGAAAAATCATTACAAAACTATCACAAATCATTAAATAATTGTAAAAAGAGTTTTGATGAACTAAAAAATTTAGAAAATATTAATATAAATATCAAAAAAACTTCAAAGAAAATATTAAGTAATTTGTAAAAAAATCGGTAAAAACCATTATGAGATTGTTAAATAATCATAAAGAAATTGATAAACTAAAAGATATTAGAGAATATTAATGTGAAGTTAAAAGAACTTCAAAGAAAATATTAAATAATCCAAAGAAAAATTGTTAAAAAACTATCACAAAATTGTTAAAAATTATAAAGAAAGTTTTGACAGACTAAAAGACATTAAAGAATATTAATATAAATATTAAAAGAACTTCAAAAAAAAATATTAAATAATCCAAAGAAAAATTGTTAAAAAACTATCATGAGATCATTAAATAATTATAAAAAAAGTTTCGACGAACTAAAGAATATTAGAAAATATTAGTATAAATATCAAATAATTTAAAAAGTATTAAATAGTTTATAAAAAAAATTATTAAAAACTATCACAAGATTAATAAAAATTGTAAAGAGTTTTGATGAATTAAAGATAATTAGAAAATATTAATGTGAATGTTAAAGAACTTCAAAGAAAATATTAAATGATTTGTAGAAAAATTATTACAAAACCATCACAAGATCATTAAATAATCTTTGACAAACTAAAAGATTTAGAAAATATTAAATAAATGTTAAAAAAACTTCAAAGAAAATATTAAGTAATCTGTAGAAAAATCAGTAAAAAACCATCATGAGATTGTTAAATAATTGTAAAGAAAGTTTTGAACTTAAAAGAAAATATTAAATGATCTGAAGAAAAATCATTAAAGAACTATTACAAGTTTATTAAAAATTGTAAAGAAAGTTTTGATGAACTAATAGACATTAGAGAATATTAATGTAAATGTTAAAAGAACTTCAAAGAAAATATTAAATAATCTAAAGAAAATTGTTAAAAAACTATTACAAGATGTTAAAAATCATAAAGAAAGTTTTAACAAACTAAAAGATATTAGAGAATATTAATGTAAATATTAAAAGAACTTCAAAAAAATATTAAATGATTCAAAAAAAAATTATTAAAAAACCATCATAAGATTATTAAATAATTATAAAGAAAGTTTCAATGAACTAAAAAAACATTAGAAAATATTAGTATAAATATCAAATAAATCAAAAAGTATTAAATAGTTCATAAAAAAAATTATTAAAAACTATTACAAGATTAATAAAAATCATAAAAAAAGTTTTGCTAAACTAAAGAATATTACAGTGGGTACCATGGTATTATGGACACTTTTTAAGAATCTGTACAAAGCTAAATATAAAAGATATAAAGCTAAAAATTAAAATATAAGTTTTTTCAATCTATATTTTTTAAATAAAAAAAAGATTGCAAAATTCTATGCAACGGTTTTTAAAATAATTAAGTTTAAGTAAAAATT